TTGACTAAGGTGGCAAAAAAGAATCTCACACCACCTCCAACAGATGTTAAAAGACTTGGATTCTGTTTCTTTCAAACGAAAGAAACAGAATCCAAACAGATGGATTCTGTTTCTTTCAAACGAAAGAAACAGAATCCATCTAGCAAATTTGGAAAAACTTCTATTTTGTCGAGAAAATCTTCCAGTTGTTGGATTCTGTTATTAGTTATTTTTATTAATTTAATATTTTGCTTAAATTAAAACTAACTTTAAAAAACAATATATATTATTGATTTTCGGTTCCGGTTTCCGTTCCTGTTCCGGTTTGGGTTTATTTTATGTACCGGTTCTGGTAATGAATAATAAAAATCGATTTTTAATTTGGTTTTGGTTCCGGCAGAATATCATTTCCGGTTGATCACTAAAATAAAAGATATGTCAGGTATTTGAGGACATTAAAGTTAAAAGATGTAATTTTTAAAAGGAATTGTATTTGAATTAAATTATAAAAATACAATTCACATAAAATAAAAATAAAATAAAAAGCAAAAAAATTATTTTTTTGACATGTTTAATAAGAATCCAGGTTTGTTATAAGAATAATAGCTTTTCTATGAAAACACAGATGATAGCTTTCTTGAAGGTAAGACCAGTTTTTTACTATTAATTCAACTGTAGATTTGTAAACAAAGAAAACTGATAATAATAAAGCAACAAAGATGACAGCAAAAGTATTATGAAAGTATGATAAAAAATATGTGTTTCAAGAAAACAAGTTACGAGCAGTTAAAAATGTGCAAAAAGTAATAACCTAACATGAGATAAAAACAATAGTTGCAAAAAAAGCAGCGATTTAAATAAATATAATAGTTATAATATCTAAAATCAAAGTTGTACATACTTGAAACACTCCTTCATACACAACAATATAAGACACTTATACACACAATAATATAAGAAACAAATTATCTTCCAATTAAAAATTTATATCCGAAAAAAGAAAAAAAGATAATAAAATTTCTTTTCATACAAAAAAATTAACGCCACCAAGAGTTACAGAATAACGCCAACAACGCTCTCAAAAATAAACGCAACAATAAAAATAAAAAAAAAGTAACAAAAAGTATAAAGTGCTTATCATGAATGAATGATAATGAGTGAATGATATTGAAATAAAATATACAAGATTGAAAAAAAAAAAATAAAACACAACTTTTTAAAATTAAAAGTTTACGCAAACAATGCACTCTATAAAAAAGGCTATATTATTTATAAACAAAATTAAATAATTTTTTTTTTAAACCCATTTCACGTGCATCGTATATAAAAAAAATTTTTTACTCTCTGTTGATGTTTTGTTTTCATCTTATAATTTTTGAGTTTTCAATTAATGGACATTTTTTCTTTATTTTTTCTTTTTTGTTAGAGTGTTATTATTTAAAATTTTATCCAAAAAGAAAAATTAGGGAATCTTTGATTTTTTCCTAATTTTTCTTTTTGTTTCTTTTGCTTATATTTTACACACATAATTATAAACTGAAAAAAATGAAACTGAAACGATATATTTTTTTCTATTTTTTTTTTTATTAAGTCTTTGAAATGGAGATTTATATAGAACACAAGGTACTAACATATATTTCAAAATAGACATTTAAGAATCATCTAGCCATCCTACTTTACATATGCTTATTATATGTTATATATATATAATATATACAGTCGTGGCCAAAAGTTTAGAATCACATGTGAACTTTTCATTTTTTTGTGTTTTTGTCGAACCTTGGTCAGAAGTATTAATTCTATTTAGTTGTCTTTGTTCCGGTATTTAGTTAAACCATTTGTGGTAGCTAAGCAACAGTTTTAATTACATTTTTTGATCATTTTAATGGGAAAAAAGAAGGAATTATCAGAAGTTATTAGAGGTCAAATTCTTATATTAGCTCAACAAAAAAATTCAACTAGAGATATTGCAAAAATTGTAAATGTATCACAATCTTGTGTTAGTAAGACATTAAGTAGAATTCGACAATGTGGAACATTTTCGTCACGTGGGAGAAGTGGCAGACCAAAAAAAGTGACTGAAAGGTTGACAAGACGCATCAAGTTTATTGTGGAGAATAATCCCAAGCTGTCATCATATGGGATTCTGGATGATTTGAGTCCTGGAAATGCTGAAGCAAGTCTACCAAGCACAAGAACGATCAGACGTGTGCTGCAGATTGATCTGAAGCGTCCTGCTCGACGACCTGCCAAGAAACCAGCCTTGAATGTCACTCAACGCAAGAGGAGGTTGGACTTCTGCAAAAAGCACAAACATTGGAAGGAGAAAGACTGGGAGAAAGTAATGTTTTCTGATGAAAGCACATTAGAACAATTTGGGACATCATGTAATTATGTTAGAAGACCACAAGGATCAGGATCATGTACACTGTACCTACTGTAAAACATCCACCGTCAATAATGGTGTGGGGTTGCTTCTCAGCTCGATTTCGCGGCCGGTTACATTTTGTACCGAAGGAGC